CAGAGGGGGCACTGGAGGCATAACAGACCAGCGCGAAGGGCCTGTCCCTACAGCGCAAAGACAATCAGTGTGAGCAGGGCTGTGGTGCTGCTGAGCACCTGCTGTGCCCCGGGGCTGAGGGGATGGCCCCTACCTGRATGCAGTCCCTGTGGAACCAGGCCTTTTTGCACGCTGGGCACACCATGGTCCTGAAGGTCTTCCTATCCTCCACAGGCTCCATGCAGATGGGGCATTCRGTGCCCGGCTCCGGCGTCACCTGCGCATCCTGCTGAGGGCTGTGCTCAGGGCAGTAGGAGCTGGGGGAAATGGGATGGGCAAAGTGACAGGTGCTGGGTCCATCCCCAGGGGTGGCCAGGGAGGAGGGGAGGTACCTGTAGTCTGGAATATACTGGGTGACACAGCCACCCTCCTTGGCACAGGGCAGGTGGAACCATCTGCCGCAGTCCTCCTTGCAGCACATAATGGTGGCTCCGCTCTGGCCACAGACACAGCAATGCTGGAAAGAGTCCAGCAGGCCCATCAGCAGCAGCCTCGGGGCATCCCCAGGCAGCCCCACGGCTCCGGGCAGGGCGCAGGATGTGGCCACTGACGGGTCTCAGCCCACAGCCCCGCCTGGTGGACGAAGTTCCTGTGCCAGAGCCTTCGCGGAGCTGCTGGGAGCCAGRACTTTCTCCCAAAGCTGGTCGGAAGGGCCAGCCYTTCTTTCTTGGGGTCTGGCCTGAGCTCTGGCAAGCCTTGCCTGGCACAAATCTCCCTGCTCTTGTCAGCCTCTCACCTGCTGTGCCGCTCGTCTTACTGCATGCTGGATATCCCGAGGGAGAAAGCCCAGGATTCCCAGACGATCGTTGTCTTTGCGRGAAAGGAGGGTGGCAAAATACTGTGGAATAGGAGAGGAGCTGATGAGGTGAGAGTGGCAGGGACTGCCCATAGCAAAACTGGAGAGAACCCCGGTGCAACTCACCAGACAGAACACGTGGGCACAGATGCCCTGCTTCTGCCATTTGTCACCGCACGTGTCCGGGTCAGCCTCTGCCCGGAGACACAGCATGCACACTGCAGGGACACAGCCAACGGCAGCGGCTGTGAGCGCCTCTGMGGGGCTCTCGGCCTGCAGCATCGGCCCCCTGGGGGGGGGGCTGCTCTGTCCCTGCCTGCCTGGCTGATGGCCTGGGCTGCAGGCCTTGGAGCGCAGGGGACATCGTGGGCATGTGAGTCCCTAGAGCTGCCCCCTGGCCCAGCTGGGCCCTGCCTGGGGAGGAAGGAGGTTCCCAGCCCCAGCACAGCTGGGCAGCTCCTGCCTCCCCCTGCCAGCGCTCTGGGCCCCATGCTGGGTGCCCCGACAGCCCCTGGGCCCTGCTGTGTGAGAGCTGCTTTGCCATCACCTGGCTCCTGGGTGTCGGGGGCCTCCTGCTTCGTGTCCTCCATGGCACCTGTGAGCGGTGAGTCCCTGTGCAGGAACGCCACACTCTCCTCCAGGTGCTGCTCCGCTGTCCCTGCGGGAGAAAGAGGAGTGTGGGGAGTTTGCAGKSCAGGCCCAGAGCYGTGAGGGCAATACTCCCTGCTCAGCCCTGTGCGAGCCCTGGTCCCGTCTGCCTTCTCTTCCAGTCCTCACGGTGAGGAACACTGCCGTCTCCTCCGGGTGCTTCTCCGCTGATTCTGAGAAGGGAGAAGCAGGTGAGGCTGCAGCACAGGCCCAGAACCCCGAGGTGTGGGGCCCCTCTGGTCCCTGGGCACCCCTGGCCCTGGCCTGCCTTCTCCTCCCGTTACCAGGGCACACTGACACAGGGCCTGAGCCCAGCGCTCCCTTTTGAAGTCACAATGGCCACTGTGACATCAGCATCGGGCACTCAAATTAGGGGCGGGCATGGCCTCAGTCCCCCATCACCCATTTGAGGCAGCCCCCTTGGCAGCCGACACTCTGAGATGGGTCCAAACCTTTGGGCAGCTCAGAACCAGGGCAGGGGCTCCTGCTGCAAGTGCAGGCTCAAATGCCAGCCCCGGGRCAGCCATCGAGGGTGGCACTGTTGGCCAAAAGCTGCAGTTCAGGCAGTGCCACTCCAGGGCTGCGGTCCCAAGCCCAGGAAATCTCTGCTGCTGCCTCTGGCATTGGGCTGCCCAGAGAGCTTGTGGAGTCTCTTGCACTGGCCAGATTGCAAACCTGCTCTGCATGAACCAATGTTCTCCTGCAAGAGCTGTCGGGGAGAAGGGGAATCTGATTTGATGCCCCTGCTGATCACTGCTGGGAGCAGGAGTTAGAACTGGACACCACCCCAGGCCCCTCCCAACAYCAATTATCCTGTCATCCCATGAACAAACACCTTTGACATTTAGTATTAAATGGAAAGTTTCATATTAAGCCCTTAATAAACATGTCATCTTTTCACTGACTCTGATGCAAACCCAGAGAATTCAATGGCAAGTTTTCTGTGGACCTGTGACTGGAATGCTTGAAACTCATGAGTCCAATGCAGGATGATGCTTTTTACTCATTAAAGTCACTTTGCCAGTTTGGTCCGTGATTTCCTACTTAGAAACAAATTGAAAAAGTTATTAAGAGAAGCAGAAACAATCCTTCTAGAGTTTTCTCATTCATGTCTTTGCAAACATGCTCCTGGAAAATCCACATCAACGACTTCCAGAACAATCACCTGCATCCCTGGAGAACAGTGATGAGCAGGGACACCCCATACGTGTCTGATGCTGGGGCACTGGGAGATCATCTATTTTCCAGTCTCCATGAAAGCCATCATGGGAGGACAACAATGCCTTCTCTGAACAAGGAGCCCGGCACAGCCAATGCAATGCCAGGCAGTGCCTTTTCCAGGACGCAGGGAGGAAGAGGAGGAGGAGAAGGACAAAGAGGGGAAAGTTGGGAGGCTGCACTCAGGGCAGTGCAGGGAACTCGTGCTTTGGCAAGGACTTGAAACAGAAGGAGCCAAAGGAAGAGCTTGGCCAGACCATGGCCAGCTGTGGGCACTTTGTCCTCAGAGCCATGACCCTTTTCCTTCCCCCCAGGCCATAGGAAGTGCTCCTGCCCTGCTCCTGCTCTGCCCAGGGCACCCACAGGGACTGCTCTGGCTGCAGCAGAACCAGCTGGGAGTGTGCCARCTGTGCTGGTTTGGGCACKGCTTTGGGACAAGGYACCCGAGTGCCCCTGGGCTGAGGGCAGTGCCCAGGCTGGGCCTGGCAGAGCCTGTCCACTCCAGCAGASCCCCTGCAGCATATGGGCCAAGTGGACATAAGGATAAGACCTTCTATGTTAAAATACTCACTCACCACCAAACATCCAACACCAGCAACTTCCATCCTCAATATTTATTAACGCACCCATGCAATAGAAAAAGTAAAAAATACGCTCTGTGAAGAAATACCAATTTTTCTTCCCTGTTATAGCTGTATTTTCATTAATTTCCAGTAAGGAAAGTTCAGACTGGAAATAATGCATTCTAAATACTTGTAAAGGGATGTGAAATAGGATCTCTGTTATAGTGTTAAGCAGAATGCAATTTACATATAGACACAGAGCGACCTGCTCTTTCTCAACCCTGTTCAGCACTGGACAGGAGGACACAATTAAATACTTCGTTACATGATGTAATTATCAAAAGTCCTGAAAAGGGAAACTCCCATATAAACCATAGAAACAAAAAACCTCAAACCTTGATAGAAACACTGAACTGACAGAAGAAACATGTTCCCCCTCACAAACAATAACAGTTTTGGCTATTATTTTTTCCTGTGAGWTATTTGAAAGCATTTCAAATGTAACATTGTTTGACCACTTTTTCAAAGAACAGACATGAAACCCTTCTGATCTGTAAAAGATTTATTGTTTTCCTTTCACTTTCCTTTTGGCATCCTTATGCTTCTTTCGGCATTCCTGAAAATAGTGAAAATTGAACACAATATTAGGAGAAGTTTCTGACTTCACTGCTAGTCTCAAACACTTTCTTTACATACAATTAAGGAACTGGTGGTGCAATGCAAATTTAGTGTTTGCCCGACGGGACATCACAATACTAAAAAACTTTGGTTCCTTGGTAGTTACAAAATGTCAAGACCTTCTGGAGGTCCTGAATTAATTTCCCARKCAAATTCACAGCTGTGTTCCCTCCCCATGCTGAGCTTCCAGCCAGTTTCCARGGAACAGGRGTTACATACTCACATCAAGCAATAATCTTCGTCTGTCTTCCCAACTCTCTTTTTCTTCACTGAGGTCTGTTGATCTACAAAACAACTTTGGGCCCTCTGCACAAAACGAAAGAATCAATTAATGGGGTTAAACACTTGTTGTAATGCTCATGAACAACACAGCAATCAAGTCAGAAGCTCTACACTTCACATCCTTCCTATTCTCTTGCTCCCCACCACAAGCTGGCTCCAACAGAAAGGTTCTGTCCTACAGCCCGGTGTACAGGAAAAGGAAAGGCAGCAGCAGTTTTGCTGAACATGCTGAAATGTAAATTGCAGTGAAACAGCAGCTGTGTCATTCAAAGCTCAACACCAGCATCCCACATCTCCCCCCAGACTGATGCCTGCTAAGCATTGAGATCTCTGTTTTAACACACCCTGTCARTCAGGTAGGCTGGAACATTGCACTAAGATTTTATATATGCCTGAAAAGATCCAAAATGTTGCAGTAACTTGTCAAGTGACTATTTCTTTGCTAAACACTACAATTCCAGACACCTATTAGGCAATTATATGAAAGAAAACAAAGCCAGGCAGCAGTTCAGCCTTTTTTCACAAGGACATTCTTGCAGCATTCTGTCACAACTTAAAGCACGAGAAAGGATGGCAAATTCTGACTACAAGYCATTAATAACCAGGCAGCATTTTTTTCCTCACTGAATTCCAGTAAGAGTTTAAAACCAAAAAACAAATACAAAAGGGGGTGAATAAATTCTGTTGTACCTCTTAGGCGTTCATCATCTTTGAAGAAGAAGAAAACTCTAGCACTATCTGTGTGCGGTAAAGAAAGAAACCTAGACAAACAGAAAGGGATTTTAGCATCCTAAAAGGTAATATCAAATTCCATGAACACAATTTAAAGCTGCAGTTCCTCAGAGAAATGGTATACACTGAAGAGCATTACTGCAGAGTAACCAAATACAGCCTTCTATTGAAAACCCCACTTCTTGAAAGCAAACTGACTGTGTCTTGGGCTTTTGGTCAAACTCAAAACTGGCTTTGGTCAAACCCAAGTGACCCAGTTCATTTCTTGTGCTCAACTTCCCTCTTTCTGGATTCGACTTCATATCAAATGGGCTSCTGGGGTTTTAGACTCTGCAGCACAAAKGGTTTTCCAAGATGACTTTCATTGCTCAGAGGTGTGCAATGTCCCATTTCCTGAATGCTGCCATTAATATTCCCATAGCATTAGTATTCACATAGCATTCCCAACTACTGAAACCAGGTACACAAAAAATACAAATAGGACTTGCATTTCTTGGTCCTTTTCCATTTCTGATGTCTCAGGCTCATCATCACCCTCAGAACTGCTGTCTTGGAAACGTGGATCCTCTTGCCATGTCACTTTTACAGGTTTTATTGTTTCAACTATATAAGGCTCTGCAATAATAGCACCATCAAAGAAAAAAAGMCAAAAGCAGATTATTCCTCTACTTGCCAGTAAAAATTCCTATTTTCAAGTGAAATTCTTACACTGGAGAAGACAAATTTAACAAGGACAATAACTTCCCCTCCCAGATTTTCTGAATTACATCTCTGCCTTGGTATTTTCCACTTTGTTCTATGGATCTCTTACTCATTCTGCTGTTACCTTCTTTGATGCCCTCCTTCTCCGTGTCTCCAAAGAAGGAGAACTTGAAAGACTCCTGAGCTGCGTCACTCCCAGGCACAGGTCCCAAATGGTCAGSTGGGGCAGAGTCCTCYGCATCCTCTTTGTCCCAGGGTATTTCCTCAGTTTTTTCWGGTTTSTTCTTTGAACATCCAAACAAGTCTTTTAAATCAGCAGCAATGTCGTAATAGATTTCTTCAGACACTTGAGGCAGTGTCTCACTCTGTTCCTTCTTCTTCCTTTTAGCTTTACTGAAATSAAGATTGTTCATGGATAGCACCACAGCACATGTACCTGTCAAAGRAAGCTTCCCYAAGAGCCACCTTGCTCTTCATGCCTCCCTCAAGGTATCCAAGCACATTAAGGAGTGGTTCACTTTCAAGGTAAGCAGTGGGGAAACATCTGAGGTTTGAGTCTAAAGRCAGGAAAAAGTGTTCTTTTTAATTGCCACATCCTTGAGTGACTTCTCACTTAGTGTGGGGTAASATAGARATCAAGGCATTGAGCAGAGATTTCTTATGCTTTTCTCACAGGCCTGCAAACCTTGAAGTCCCTGAAYTGACCTTTCTCACAACCTTCAGTAATGATAGAAAATGCCATGCAGAAAACGGGGACTAGAAAGAAAAGATGACACTACAAGCTGATTGTAGTGATCACAGTTCCTATTTTATCTTGATTTGAGCAACCACAGAGAGAACTAAATTAAAACCAGAGCAATCTCCATAGTTTGAAACTCAGTATGTTGCTACAACCATATTTCTACGGAAAAAAAACACCACAATTGCAGTTACCAAGCTGTAACACTACCTCTTCTTTTCTGTAGCACTTGGTTTCCTTTCAAAAGCTGCATGGTCCTCTCTTGTTGGATCATAACGGAGSGCATTAATATCTCTATAAAAGAAGAAAGGAAAAGAAACAGCATTGTACATTCCAAATGTCTAACTGAAAGCTACCCCTAGCCTTTACACTCAAACCCAAATTCACATTGRTTTCTTTACCAAAAAAGGTTGAAATAGATAAAAAATGTAACTGGCAGTTAGAAAGCACCCTCTAGTCAGTGTCTGGGTCAGGAAATATATAAGCAGAAGTGGATTTAATCAAATTGTGATATTTCAGATAAAACAATTCTCACTTGCGTGTTATGCAGTGAGATTACACTGAACCTGATAATGTCCTGAGGAGCTACATAAATACAGCTATTCTTATAGATATGGATATATTTCTTCCAGTACTTCCAGTACCAAACATTGCATAAATTCAAATAGTCCAAAAGGAGCAAAAAACCCAAAACAACAAACAAGAACCCATTATGCCTGCCCAGATTTCAAAATTGAAAGGTTTCAGGGTCTTTCAGCTTCCTTCCTTAAAAAAAAAATCTCAGCCTTCCTAAACCTCCTTCTTTACTGATAGTGRATGATTCATACTTGAATTTCTTCACACTCATGCCCGTTTTATTTGGCTTGGGCTGTTCCAGATTGATATTCAGGATGCTCCCCAGTATTTGCAGATTTTTCTTTTTCTCTGCAGCAAGCTCCTCTTCTTCATCAGCCTTCACGCTGTCTGTCTCTCCTAAGAGAAAGATAAATGCATTCTATTTTCTCTGCTTTGCCTGTAATGTTGGATGTATAACATTTACTACAGTACTAGGATAGTCTATGTCTAAGAACACGTCACTTCTCTTATCTTAAAGCTACGTAGAAGCTTTCCCCCTTGCACTGTAGAAAACCTTTAATTAGAAATGTCACAGGCATCCATTTCTTGGGAAAATCAGAGCATTTAACCTGCTCCCCACRTGCACACAACTGTGCAACTCCTTTGCCACTGACCTATGCTCTGCAGAAGATGGCAGTAAAGCAAGAAAAGCTGCTGAAAGGCTCCATGGCTACCAGTGACCAGGGAATGTGATCAGCTTTACCTTCTTCCTCACTGTCACTCTCAAGGAATCGAGCATCCATGCGAAACCTTTCATCGGCGCCAAAGCGGGACTGCAGCTTCAAGAGCTGAACAAATGAAACAGATGCTATTAAGCACTSGAGAAGGAAAACATCATTCAGTAACTTTTTTCTTGCTACAACTATGGCAACACGTTCTTTACTTTTTTGTAAAGGCTTTTCATGCCTTTTCCAGTAATTTCTTTGTATACAAAGACAACAAGGTCAGAGAAACTCCTCCCACTCCCCACCACACATTATTTCCTCCATTTAAGGGCATTCTAGCATAAATTCATAAAAATCAAATTCAGCAAGAATGAAAAGATACAAGTTATGTTCTTCTGAAGTGCTGTTATAGAGACCTAAAGGAAAACTAAATTACTGTAATGGCTTCACTCACTTTTTCACCAGCTTTGCCTTCAAACTGGGGCTTAATTTTGAATCGCTCATCGTCCGTATCCTCTTGCTCATCCTCACTGCTATCAAACAGTCTGCCTGAAGGTTTGGAAGCAGATTTAGCCTTTGTTGCACAGAAAGAAAAGAAAAGCAGCTGTTTTTATTTAAGTTTGAGAATATAAATCAATACTAACTTTGTTCATGTGCTCTCCAGTTTAGCTGAAAAATTGGATTTCCCACACAACCAGCTCGCTCCCTGATCTGATCCATGTGCTACAAATTTTACTTTGAACACACACCTTTCACAAATGTGCTTTACAGTTATAACTATTCAATTTCACCATAGGAAAAATATCCTTATTAAGGGTAACTCAGGTGTTACAACATGAGATAGTTTGGTATAAAAATTCAGCTTTCTGATTRTATCATACTCCATTTTCCCCAGTAATACTTACTTCTCCATGCATCTTTCCCAAACTTGCATCTTTTTTCAACATCTCATCCACTTCAGCTTCGTTTTCCACATCGGAATCGAATATGATGTGTTTGTGCTTTCCTGCTGGCTGCCTATCCTGGGAAAGAGTCAATTGTCAAATCAAACATTTCAAATACTTGCTGCACTCAGACATGACTGTATGAAAGACATTTCCATGACACAAAAAGAGCAATCTGCTATTCCTCTTGCAACTCTACAGGTATTCCAGGGATTAGTATGCAGCATTTTGTATACTCTCAAAAGAAAACTGGCAATGTCATCAGAAATTCCAGACTATGATTTTAAAACATCTTATTCCACATGTATTCATTACCCTTTTCCTTGCACTGTGGACTATTCAGGTAGAAACTGGAAGTGTAATTACCAGATTTGAAAGAGCTCCTTGAATGAGTTTCTTCTGCAATTCCCTCTCTCTGTGTCTCTCTTCCAGTGCTGCCAGCCTCCTCTGGTTGTCCTGGAGCTGTTTCTCTATTGTACTGGGCTCCTTTGAAGCAGCAGCATGACGAGAAGACTCCTTATCCTCCACAACACTTGTCTTCTCTTTCTCAACTTTATTACCTTCACATTCTGGATTTTTTTTACTTGTATTCCCTTTTAATGTTTTGGAAATCAATTTTGGGCGCTTCAGCTGCTGTTTAACATGTTCCTGGGCCCCTGCAGCATGACTGTCCGTGTCACTGCTCCCATCACTCTCACCCGTWCTGGCAGCAGCAGCTTCATGCTCTGAATTTTGGTCTTGTAGAGAACTCACACCTTTGTTCTTCCCTTGCAAATGAGGCTTGGAATCAGGGAGTCTCTGACCTGCTGAGGAGGCAGCAGCTGATAGCTCCTCATGCTGCTCACAAGGTGCTTTGTGTTTCTTTTTGCTGCTGGCTTCAAGTGAGCAYGATGGACGGTTCTTTGGCTGATGTTTAGATGACTCCTCCCCACAATATGATGTACAAGCTTCAAGTCCCAAACTTTCTACAGATCTCTTCTTTAACCCAGTGTTGTCTTTACTTGACTCTTTAACACAAAGGGACCCCATTCCTCTGAAGGGCTGATATTTCAAATGTGAATTATTTTGTCCCTTGGAGTTTTCCTCAACAGCATCCTCTTCCCCTGCTAAAATATCAGCCAGCACCTCTTCAGGACAGATGCTTTTTTTTTTAACTGCAGGGTGAAATTGAGAAAGTTTTTGTTTATTTACAATACTATCCTTGGGATTATCTTCAACGTTGGACTGACAAGAACTCTGTGCACTGCCTGACCCCTCTGCCAGTGCATCACTGTTTTCTGTAGCCAATGCTTTTAAGTCATCCAAGGTAAGGTCTAAGCGGTAACAGTTCTGCATCATGGACTCATAATCAGAGCTGATTTCAGACTGCCCTTCCTCAGAGTCTGAACAAGAGCTGTCACTGTCACRTGTCTCTGTTGTACTGTTGGCTGCTGTACTCTGCAAGGCAGCAATTTTGGATTTTTTCATTTTCCCTTTTTTTTCAATGCATTTTTCTTTTAAATTGCGAGTTTTCAGTGAGGAGCCATTTACCAAACCACTTTCTTTTTTAGCTACTATTTCTTTATTTTTCACCTTTCCCTGTTTAGAATCTTCTGGATTTTTACTTTCAGCAATAATTTCATCTGTGTCTGCTGAATCATAACCATTATCACACTCCATAGTCTCTTTCTCTCTGCTACTTCCTTTGATAGCTTTCTTTGTGGCATCTGAATTGCTTAAGAACCAGTGACTACTGTATTTTAATTCAAAATTATCCCCAACAATTTCCAAGTSCTCACTTTCAGTCTCAACACTTCCAGCTTTCTGTCTTTCTGTCTCTTTCTTCACCATAGCTCTGATCTCCTCTTCAGAATCAATGTCACTATCCGAAATGCTCATATCATTTTTGGCTGTAATGCCATTGGCTTTGCTTTGCTCTGACAACAAAGCTCTCCCTGCTATTTTCCTACCAGGCCTCCTTGCTGGAGGCAGTTCTGACTSCTCACTAGGTTTGGGGTGTGATCTGTGCTCGAGCTGTGGTGAGTCTGTGTGTTTGGGGTGTGATGGGCACCCAGAGGATGGAGCTGCTCTGCTCAGGGCCTCGCTGCCCAGCTGCCTCAGTTTCTTCGGTGGTTTCCTGATGCCAGGGGACTCCCTTTGCCGCTTCCTGCTCGTGCCATCATCTCCCCCTTCCAGGTGCCAGGTGAGCTCAGAGACAGGAGCTGCGTGTGCCACGTCTGGCTCCAGCTTCCTAAGGTTATGACAATACTTGGAGGGGTCATATTTCACCACGTTAAGTCTGAGTTAAGGATTTGAAACATTGATTCTGTCAGCAGACTTGGGTCTTTATGAACAGGCTGAATTCTGCAGGAAAGGACAGCAAAAACTCCTTTTTCATGTCATGACATAAAATTTTAAGCAACTGACTTTGCAGTGCAAAACAATTATACAAGTCACACAAATTTACTGCAAGATTTACATGGGGGATTCAGTAAATTAAGTGTGACAGAGAGGTAAAAATTAAGACTGTTAATGACAAAAGAAAGAAGGGAATTGTGTCCGACCCAAACAATAAGAAAAGGATATTTTATTTTTCTGTTGATTCCTGAGGTGCAGGATAGGCAAGACTCTGCCAAATTTTCCAACAACCCATTTCTAAAAGAAAARAAAAWWA